TTCCTAACATTGGTCCGCAGCTACTTTGTGGGACGCGTTGGAATGGCTACATTCGTTATGCCTACGTGGACAAGTAGGTTAATCTGAGAGTGTTGTGAATTCCAAATTCAGTAGAGTTTCCTAATTTATTTTGCCCAACAATATGAGATAGTCAAAACACCAATTCAGGTGAGTTCTATCGACATATGCCCGAATGAAAGCTTAGTGACTTGGTTTCTTGTCAGAAAAGATGAAATTATTAAAAAAAACACTTCAGGTAAGTGGTTAGTGTTTATCAAGAATAGCAAAGGCCCATCTGCTGAACCTTTCAAGACCTCAATGTAGACCGGCACTCCAATGGTTTGAAATTCGTCCTCAAATAAGATTAGCCCTTACCCATTAAATTAGTCAATAACCAGCCTCCGAGACAGTCAACGGTCAGCTGACCTCGAAACTGCAAGATTTATTGAGCCGCCTATAAAGAATCTCCACTGTGGGAAGGAACTTTGTAGCATGCGATTTACTTTTGAGAAAGATTGACTTGACTTGTTTAGTTTCCGAGGAAATTAATTCTTTGAACTTGGAGTAAATTACTCGGAAAAAGCTTTTTTAGGTTCGGCCCGAAAGTTTATGTGAACATTTTATGGACTTTCTGTACCGCTTTCAACCGTGTAAATAAGGAAACTTATATAGATAGTCTCGAAAGATGTCTATCATGCCAATGAAGAGGATGGCGACAGTTGGGACTTTTAGCAGTTTTATTGAGCAGGCCACATAATGCAGTTTTGATCGGAAATCCGTCAGCTATGCTGTCACGAATTTTTTCGACGTCCTACAAAATCTACTTAATGCTCAGAAGTGAGGTAACCATTCATGCTGTTCGATGTACGAGATCAGTGCACGTACCCGACCGCCAATTTAAGGTTGGGAGATCTGCTGGGAGGAGGCAACAACAAGCTATTCATCGTCGACTCTGTATGTTAATCGCTCGCATGCAACACTGTCACCAATTGCATTTTTCTTCTCTGCTTCATACTTTTCCGTGAGGCTTTTGCGCTTGCACCCCCTGATTGTTTCCGTAACTCGTCTGGTTGCAGTCTCGAACTTGTCTGACGGACTTGCCACGTGCCTTACGTCTACATTTAAATTGTTATTGATACTTTTGTTTGAAGATATGCTTTCAAACTCCTAGATTACTGTCTTTAACCCACCGCACTACCCTACCAGGCAGTACTGTCTTTGATTGTTTTGCAAGGTGTATCCGTCTAAGTTTTAATGCATTTGTCAGTCTAACTTAGTACGCCTGCATTTTCGAAGGTGTCCCACGGATCAGGTTTGGCTTTAGGAGGCGAATCTAAGCCAATAACTCGCACTAGTTCGCACTTACCTGTCAAATGCTGCAAACAACAATCCAGGGCAGTTAAAAAGCTGGTCCACCTAAAATCCAGTTCACAAAGGCGATTTTCACCGTTTGTCGACAAATTTGCCCATTTAGCCAACTGAGCACAACAGACTGTTGGTATCAGGATTTTTTGGCTCTACGTCTTGAGCTGATTGGTAAATTTTCACCACCAGAGCCAGTGAAACGTGGTCTTTAGGAGTTAAGAATGGTAGTGTTTGGTCAGTTTAGTTTATTCTACGGCCTAAAATATCGAAACATTTATGATGGATTCCAGTTAGACATAGTTTATTTGGGTCCATATGGTAGCCTACACAGAAAAATCAATTGCTTCCACACCGAATTCTGTAATTGTTCTTCCTGGGTGTAGGAGGGTGACCGAAAGAAATGTTCTAGTCAGCTTGGTCTTTATTAGGTAACACCTCTGTTACGTCGGTTAAGTGGGTAATTTATACAACATAACGGCTGCTCGGTGCCGGGCGCCCAAACTGGTTACAGCTATCTAACACTGCGGGTTGGGTGATGCCTGCCCCAGATGGGCAGGTCTCCTTTGACTTAGTTAATTTGTATCCAACGCTGAGTTGAGGTTGAAGCGTCAACTAGCCAAAATCTGATCCTTGCAAATTTTGTGGGATTATAATAAAGTTCTCTGAGCAAGTCACCTCTTTGACTTGCGAACTCTACCCACTTAAGCTTCTTCGTGTCTCGCCGGCTTTGGTGAAGAGATCCCTCTCCCACCTAGTGCACGGTACATCCGCAAGGCCGGTCATCGAGGTCCATCGCATACCACCATTCTGTTAACGGAAGAGTTAAACGACAAGAATCTCCCACAAACGTGTCTTCACCCTCTCGTCAAGTGAGCTCGAAATCTGGCTCTGAGATGACGGAAAGCCAGTAACTTCCACATGATTTACGTTGGGCATCTCGGAGTTGCCTGAATCTCTGGGAAGTATAAATTATAAAAATATGCGAGGCTGAAGTTGACAATCCTCACGTAGTAACTGTCCTCACTCGTTATACCATGATGAATTCGAGTCCAGATGATCGTTGAACTCAATGTTCGACCAGTGGTTTTATCATTTCTTTTTATGTCTACTAACTGTGCTCTGCTCTAGGGTTCCATAGTTTGATGTAACCAGTCTCTTTCTGTCTGATTTTTCATGCGTCACGTTCGCTTCACATCGGTAGCCGGTCAAATGACTAACCTTAAGTCCAGTATGTGACACGCTATAATTGTAATGTCGATTTTGGTGGTTTTTCAGCACTTTCATCGAGTTAAAAGCGATGTGTTTGCTTGTTCCTCCTAAGTTATTGCCGCATTCACTCGCATTATTTTTGGACCCAAGAACAGCCCCTCATAAATAAAAGCAAATAGTACGCGTTTGTCCTCTTAACGTATGTAGTCCGTCTGGCCACTCCAGCTTCCCCACACGTCATTTATGCAGCCAATTAGACCCTCCCCCAAACATTGATTTGCGTTCATTTCCTGAGTTTGCCTATTATAAGGTTGTCTGTCGTGATATGATGCACCCGGTTTATTTTAGGATCCAGTCATTTCATCTACCTCCTTGGTCTTCATCGCCATTCTTGTGGTCTTTCTGCTCTCCATTTTCAGTGAGTCGTGTTGCAGTTGCTGTATAAATTTGATAATGCCTTTCTGAACAAGCATATCTTTGTATGCTTTAGGTTGCTAGGGCAATGAAACGGAGTTCATGCAGCGCTCGCACTTCCTTCAAACCCTTCAAGCTTCACAAGTGCGCTTCTCAGCAGCCTGTCCATGAACAATCGAGTTCATTCATCTTACAACTCCCCAACGAAATCCTCTTCCACATATTCACCTTCCTCGAATGTAGTTTTTCTCCCTTTCTAATTTCTTTCCGAATTAGGCTGCGATCTCTCAAACTTTGCCTTCACCTGTCGTTCAAACCGGATGGCAGTTGAGTTGTACTTGTCAAGTTCGGCATGCACACAATTAACATTCTTTCGTACACCACATCCTGAAACCACACCAACTAGCAGCTCAGAAGTCAAGCGTAAGGTGAAGTACTATGGCAAAATTGGTAAGTTCAAATCTTCCCATCCTCATTTCGATTCAGGTGTTCTCTTCCGGAAGATCTACTGCCTTACATCCCTCACCTTGCGTGTCGAATTGCTGCAGGAAATCCTTTGTGCGGTAATTTCCTTTAAACAACTGCTTAATGACCCTATAGGGCTTCGTTTTATTTGTAAGGCGATTGGTGTATGTTTACCGGACATGGTTTAACAGAATGGGTGTGGGGTATCAGACAGTCGAGAAATGTTATTAACAAAGACATAGTTCAGGGATACCACTTCTGGCCTTTTTGACCTCACCGACCAAGAAGACGCCTGAGCTCGTGATATGTCATTTGATCATTATGCATTTTGAAGTTCAGTGCTGTCCCACGAGTCACGTACCCTCTGTTCTGCTTGTCGCGACCGGCAACATTCAAAGTCACGTTGAAGTAGAATTTACTTATATATGCTTATCTGGAGGTGAAAGTTGACATTTCTGTTTTGCCTTGGAGGTCTGGGTGTTGAAACCCTGCAGAGTCACACTGCGGCTAAGGCTTGGGCATGCAGATGAAGTGCAGAAGTTTCAAACCAAAAATCCTAATTAACCAACTGACTCGAACCTCGACTATTGGTCTTTGGTCGCTATGCAAGCCCGTCAGATTTATTGTACTGAGGAATGCAATGACTTGTGAGTGTGGATTCCCAGTGTCCGTTTCTCACCCGCTCTCTTTCCTCACACACCGGTCGACTGTCCGAGCCTGTCAACCAACATGTGATAGGATTGGGCGCAATGGCTGGCCCGGCGTGAAAGCATACGTTTTGACTGTGCCGTACGCATGAGCAGCAGTATTTATGGGCCTGCGCGGACTCGGCACAGCCCCCTAAACGCGTGCCGTGAGGCCAGTCCAATTCCCGTTTTTGGTTCAGCGCAGTCCGTTATAGGGATCTGAAGTCATCATACTACATATGAGATGTTAGGCCAATCTCGGATTTCAAAGGTACCATGAAGTAACTCTGTGCGAAAACAGATGCTTTAAACTGCACGCTTTTGAGTGGGCGCACGCCGATATGCTTAACGTTTTGGAAAATTTTGCCGTCGATTTGGGCTCACTTGTAAACTATGTGTACGGCATGCGTATGCCCACCGATTTATTTTTGTTTTCAGTTGGTAATTGGACATGATTGACTGAAGAAACCATGGGTGGGCCCGAAGCAGCTGCTGTCCCAGTCTCCCTGGTTCTTCTCGATGCGCCTCTTTGTGGTGCATCGCTAGCAAGAGCTACAGCCTGGTAGGCGGTTTTCCAGTGCACAACCGGTCCGCTATCAGTTTATACTCCATCCGCTCCTAGTGACATGGAAAAGCGACGGACATGACTTAGCTATTTGAATCCCACTGACCTATTAGTTTGGTCTGCCTTATCCTAACAGGTTGTTAAATTTCCCACTCCTCCTTACATGTATGGCACAATTCCTCTTTGCTCTAGCGTCTTTCTAGAGCATATGGCGCTCCCGATATCACTCTTTTCTCTGTATTTTTCTTCCTTGCTAACCTGATCCGCTGTTGTTTTGACTGCTACATTTTCAGCACATGTGCTGTCCACCCGAGGAGGCGAAGCCTACCTTCCAGGAGAAATCGTCAACTTGCCAGTACCTCTTCGACCGAAAACCCTGCATCACGGGCCAGTTGCGCTGTCCCTCGCTCTTCTTTTTTGGCCAATTTCTGCGCTCCTTCCTCTCTGGATGCTCTGACTCTGAGTACCAGCGTGTCTTTCACTCACTTGTGCACTCCTGCTTTGGACAAAACTTCTGGTTAAGGCTGACCAACCTTATCTGCAAAAAGGCTGGTGAGTGGAGACCCCTGTCTGCATGAATACTCATGTCGAACGGTCTGAAAGCGTGTGCTATGCCAGTATCAGCAAACCATGGCCCCCGCAGCCTGGTATGCGCTGGCAGGTCCTTGACACCTGGTTTCCTGCCGGTAGATGCGCTTGCGCTCCCGTTGGGTATACAGGTGGTGGGCATGGCTGTCTGGTCATCATCCTTGTCCTTTTCACCCCTGTTGGGTTGCCGTTGCTGTTGTCGAAAAATCCTGGTCATTTGCTATGTGGGTCAGGGGGTGTGGTGGCACGCCTAGATGCGGGTTCGGTCGTGCCAACCACCTGCGCCCTTCCCCCGGTCTTCTTGACTCTGTCTTGACACCGGGTTCAGGTGGGGAGGAGGAGAGTGCGGTAGATGCTACGCAAGTCTGTTATCACTATTAACTAACTCACGCGCAAGTCACCGTGCCTGCTGCATCTTGCTGTGTAGCACACGGTGGACATCTTCGGAATCGACGGTCGGACTGTCATAGTGACAGCTCCCCCAATCCCATATCTGCATCGTAAGCGAGTCTTTCGTCAGAATCAAATTATTCAGTTGACTTCCAGGTTGTAAAAAATCCAAATCTGTTAGTCAGTTAAATTTTTTGGATCTGCCAAAGTACCCAGCTATTCACACACTGAACGGCTCACCATACTGGCAGCACGCATACTAGCTGAAAGCTTACATACATGTGTTGACGATTTTATGCCTCTGCGTGACTCAACTGCAGGGGTTTCGGCCAGTTGGTGAGTCTCCCAACGTTCAGGGTGTCTTGGTGGTTTCCAGTTCGTACATGCAAATCAACTTTCGGGCCGAGTCAAGAAAGGTTTGTGCCGAAGAATTTACTTCTGATTCGCGCATTAAGTTCCGAAAAAATAAAGAGTCCAACCCACACATTTATTCGCCGTTGTCTGCTAGTGTTGTTGTTGTCGTTGGTGAAGAATCCTGGTCAAGTGTATGTTGTGGACCAGGGGGTGTTGTGGCACGCCTACATGCGCGTCCGGCCGTGCCAGCCACCTGCGCCCACCCTCGCCTCCGGTCATTTTGACTCTGTCTTGACACCGAGTCCAGGTGGGAAATGGGGGAGAGAGGGCGTGTTAGATGCAGCGCAAGTCTACATTCACTATAAACTAAACCAAGCGCAAGTCACCGTGTCTGCTGCACTTTGCTGTGTAGCACACGGTGGACATCGTCGGAATCAACTGTCGAACTGCCATATATGCATAGTATCCAACAGGAATATCGGAATGCCCCTGATGACACGTGCTTCTTCCGTTTGGCCTCTAGTCTAGCAATATACTGCATATTCACAAAGGCACTGCGTCCGCTGTGTCATAACTTAATTTTTAACTTATGGACACCAGACAGACCTTGCTGGAAGACGAAAGACTGTCATTAGAATCTCTGTTTTATGTCAAAAGGATTTTTGACAAGACTGCCACGCTTACGCTCCAGGTCGCTCAGCAGACCCTCTGTAGATCTCATGGGTGACGTTGTTACTGTAAGCGCCTCTGTTTTTAAAATGCAACGGCATGGCCGCAGGAGCCATACGTAGGCAGACAACAGCAATTAAAGCATATCAATCACTTTTTAGCTCCCATCTAGGGGAACAGTACCGCGATAAATCCTATAAAAATCGACTACCATTTTACCAACACCCTCTACTTAATGAAGTCTGTATCACTTTTTCTTACCCCAGGGGTCTACTTGACCTCCCCCTCATGCTGGAAGCCGTGATTTGGAAAAGCTGAGTCGGGTTAACATCGTTTTATGGGTGAGAAGCGTGATTCCTACTATCAACGAACGTCTATATCATATCTCACTTTGAGCACCGACGCGACAAAAACGTCCGAGTTTGGTCCCACATGATCCTTTTGGCTATGCGCACGGTGTGTATTAGGTCGTTAAATATGAGCGAATATGAATGAATGGAGGTTGTCCGGCGCTTTATGACGCGTTTACTTATGCTGCGTGATATAGTCCACTCGTGGTTACTTGCCAACAACTCCTTATTAAATTTGCTGGGTAAAAGTTTAAGACAAACCGGTATTAACTGTTTCCGGACATTGCAAACCTGCTACAAAAGTTCGTCATTTCGCGTTTCGCAGATCACAAATTGGTTGTCCGTTGGCTGGCTATTTAACATACACAGCCTTCAATAGGCGGCAGTGGCTGCCCAATCGAACGATTTTTCCTTGGGTGTCAGTCTGCTAGTCCGCTGGTCATATGAATAAATCCGCCAAAACATCTTGTGTTCTCACTTGAATGTTAGACCTTACAAATCACTAATAATGGATAATTGCTCATTCCCACATCCTTTGTCTCCACTTAGTATTCCGTCACTTACCGCCTCAACTCACTGATTTCCCTTCTTACTCATTTTTTCCCCCTCATTAGGGCATTATTAGACATCTCTACCACTAACAAGTTAAGCGGCATCAGTTTTACAATTACTCCTTCGGCATTATTGCTTTTGGTACCGATGAGCGTGTGTTGAGGTTGATGATGATGGTAGTTTCGCATGTGCAACCCCGGCTCCGACCATGTGGTTTTCCTATTCGTCCCATTCCTCTCTAGGGGAGCTTCCAGAGGAGGAGTTGACTGTGCGCCTCTTTTTGCGGCGCGTCTTTTTGGATCCCCTCGGACTGCCCGTGACCGTGAGACCCACCTGGAGTGACCTTGAGGAGGATCAGACCATTAGTTCGCCGAGGTCCGGCCCCCGCTCCACCTGCAGCACCCTCCATTCTGCTGCTACCTCCAGCTCCACTTCCTTTATATCCCCCTCCTCCCAACTGCCGGAACGCACCTTTCAACGTCTTTCACTCACTCCTCATTCCGAGGCCGTTTGCAACTCGAGTGATCCCGCATTCGCAAATGTCAGTACAGAAAGGTGAGATTTAAAAAAGGGGGGATTAATTGGCTCTTTGGTGTGTTTTATTGTGACTTGCCGGTACACAGTGAGATGTTCATATCCGAAAATTCTCAAGTTTTGCACTTTTTCGCCTTTGTGGACACCTATCCGGCTGATATCCCGTTGTATGCGGTGTCCCAAAGGACACGTTTTCACGCCTCATGACCTACGTAGATGCAGATACAGGAGTCACGTGCCTTTATAACGTTCACTAACGGCAATTGTGGATTATTGGTCTACTCTGGCGCAGATGTGCAGGCACAATCGTGCCCATATTCCCTTCGCTTCCTAGGGTTAGCTGGTGCTGAGTGGTTGTCAACCGCTGTTGTAGCCTGGAAATTTGTATGGTTTCGCATCCGACCCACATAGTCCAGACAATATCAACTTGCACAAGTGAAAAAAGCCTCAGAGTAATATGTCGGTGGTCCTCATAAGGGGCTACGTTGAGTCCCCTAAAGTCAGTAGGTGCTGCTGTACTTGCATGTGGTGGTACTCCCTAGGGGGGGGGGTGGGGTGGGATTACTATACTTTTTATCGTATCCGATGTGTCCACCTGAGAATCCTGTGATTACCGAAGCGTATTTACGTCCCTCTGCTAAAGTAACAGGGTAAGTAAGGTTAAAAAAACGAATTGTATATCAAGAAATTATTTGATGTTGTCCTTCTGATTGCACACTGTGACAGGGGTCACTTCGCCGTACCGGGAGTTTCATGAGTTACGTCACATACTGTGCAGGAGAAGATTCTGTAATTCCCTTACATCAGGCCTTGTTTTGCTGTTCTCTGTAAAACGCGCCTAAGCCCCATTGAATCACCAAACGGCAAACCCTGCTTTATCATGGCCTTCCTTACAATTACTGTCCAGGTACTACCGGCCTAATAAATGCAACACTACATCCACCCCCACCCCCCCTTCACCACCTTTGTTTGTGCCGACTCCATCGCGCACCCACGGTCCCACCTCTACCGATAATTCACCTTCCATCTCTCTGCACCCCAGCAAGGGCTTATCGATCGGCCCCTAACAGACGAGCAGCCTTGCACTTTACACCTCCAACCCTTCTAGTCCCAACATTTTCGTCGTGCAGCTCATGCGATCCACGTGGACGTGAGGGACACATGTTGACGATGGGGGACGGGGGGGGGGAGTGGGAATCGATTTTACCGGCTTATCAGAACTAAGGTCCACGCGCGGCGTCGCCACGTTCGCTAACGCGGCCGACTTTGTTAGCAGACGTCACGACCGCGAAAACGCTTATCTGCCCACTGCAGCAGGCAACATGTAACATGTTAATCTCAGTTAGAAGGGATCACTCATCAGGGGGGTTCTCCTATCAGCACGGTACCCGGCTCTCTTACGCGCATGAAAACAGATGATGAGTCCAGTGATTCTGATTTGATTTGCAAGTCACGTATATTAGCTAAGTGCTTCGCAACGTTTCATCTTTTTTCTACGTCACGGCTACATAAATACTTTGCTCACTAAGTCCGTCAGAGATGTTCTTGTCATTGTTTGCTAATATCGGTATGCAGTAGTTGACGTGTCTCATTAGGCCCTTACTGAAGTTTCGAAATATTATTTCGGTTAGAAAGGACTACTTCGATGAGCTTCTAGTACTTCAGTCACTGCGGGATGCCGGTTTTCGAATGCGCGTCTTTCCGGTAGTCTACAACTATTGTACTCGCTAAAAATTATTCATTCCAATGATCTTCCGTGCGCTTGTAAATCCTAACATTTTTATTGAAGGCGTACACAAAAAATATCCTTTCTTGTATTCATTATGTATAAAACTGTATCTTATTTTTTCTACTTCAACAAAGCGTACCCTCTGGTTTAAAAAAACTACTTTCAGTTATGGAGTAATTTTGAACCCTGCTTTTCGTTGTATTTGCGTTGAGGGTTTCCGTACCATAAGCCGCACACTTTCCATTTAAGAAATTGTACAATTTTCTATTGCATAGAGAAGGCGTTATATAGGGCTCGTAAAATTTTGCCACGGATATTGACCACTTCATTAATTAACGGCAAATACGAGGTCATTTGGATTGACATATCACGGTCTTACAAATATCACAATTGCAAGCGTTTATTAAACCAACAGATACCCCTTCTTTGTTCCGAACACTAGAAAAAGACGTAATTTGCTAAAACAAAATACGGAAAAGGAGGGATATTTCACGTAGGCCTTCTATAAGTTATGCGTGGATTTATAAAAGCATCGAAAATTAGGAAAAGTTCTGTTTAAATGAGCAGTCAGTTTTAGCCAGCACGTTTTTTACAGGCAGCTGGAAAGAAGCGTGTTTGAAAACCTTTATTCTGATGTGACTGAAGTATTCTGAAAATGTCCAGCGCAATATTCAGCATTGCAATACCACCTAAATATTCCTTTCTAACCGATATCATATTTCAGAATTTCAGTCAATGTTTCTTGAGTTGCGTCATTTACTGTATAAACAACAAAATACTCTCTAAAACTTGCGCCCTAGCAGACTTGACTTGGAAGTTCGCCCACTCACGGCATCGCCCGGTTCCCCTCCGGACTGAGAGTCAGACTGCGATGGCCTCTTCTTGATACGGCCTTTCTAGTAGTTTTTTTTCTTTGCGATCGCTGAGACCCCTCTCATTGAACTCCGACACCTGCAGAATTAGGCGCCATCTCGTGTGTAGTACGCGTAGCCGAGCCGTTTAGCTTTGTCAGTCACTGGGTCTTGTCCCGTCCCCTGCCGCCCTAACTTTGTCTTTCCATCGGACCACTTAGGGCTTGAGAAGAAATTAAACCACGCTGGACGCAGGGCAAGTCTGTGGCATGCTAAACACATTTATACCAAGTCGACTCTTGGAAATGTGTCTTTCCCGCTTCCTTCGTAGGACGTAGGTGGTGTAAGTGAATCTGGCTCTTGTGCTTTCAGTCGTCACCGACGTAATGACAACAGCTTAGTGAATCAAGTTGACGGGTATGCGACAAAAACCCCCGAAGACGAGGCCTGTCTAAAATGAACGGGTTGGGATATCTTCAAGACCAGAAATTGTCTAGAGTGTGATATGTCTGTCTGCTCAAGCCGAGATTGAGTGTTAAAAGAAAACCGATGGTAAAGCATCCACGGCGATGAAATGAGCGGCAGGTTCTGTACGGAACTACTGAAATTATAAACTGTCAGATACGGTGTGGTGTCGATGACGGTCTTGAACCACATTTCTTCACACACGAGTAGCCTATTTTAATCAACTGGCGCGTGGCTCAATGGCAGAACATCAATCTTAGAACCACTTTATGGTTCAAATCTCAGCTTATTCGAACCTGATATTTGACAAGGCTGACCGAGGACGGCCAATAAGTTAGAAGTGACCGTCTTAGGCTCTCTTATCCATTTCGGCATGCCTTCCTATTTAAGTCTTGCCTTCGCCCTAGTGGATGGCGTATTCTTTGCCGTCGTCTTTATAACAGATCTTCAGACTAGCATGAGGATGACGGTACTTTTCTGTTTTCTAGTGTTCTTCGCACCATCGCCGATGAATCACCCAACCCTCTTCGGTCCTCTTCGGGTCTCATCACTTCCACGCCGATCGTTTTTTCCAACAGCTCCCTCAAAATCAACTCTCCACGACCCGATCTCTGGGGCGCCGCAAACGTCTTGTTTAACATCCTTAGGTCTTACCCCTTCGTTCACCAAGCCAGGCTCCTCTTCATACTCTACGGCCCCGTTCACAAAGGTGAGTCTTTCTAATGGGGCGGTAGTCTGAAGTATAACCATCAAGAAATTAGGCACTTCAACTTGAAAGCTCATCTGGCCATCGTAAAACTGCCAGAAAACCCCCTGATTATGGATGGTGTAATGCAGTTGTTCACACTTTGCACGCATTTAGTCCTTTTTTGCAGTCCCATCAAGATGGTCGTCGAATTAAAACCAGATAAATCCGCTTACACAGTCGACTGGCGAGGCTCTTTTAACTCAAACGAGACGGCATTAGACGTGAATTATGAGTGCCAATGATTCGGCTTCCGCTGTGGCGCACATTTTCCCGTTAAAACAGGAATTTTTGGTCGGATGTGGTTTGGTAGCCCCACCTGAAGAAAACAAACCTCAGTTACCTCTAAAAGAGGACCGGTGGTAATAGGGGATTTTACAGGTGGAGCTGGGGAACGCACATGCGACGAGGTCAAGTAGTTGTATGCAAAAGAAAAGCTATTGGGAGTGCTTGATTGTACTTTCAACGGTTGGGAAATAGTTGCGCTAACCCCTAACCCTAGCCCCTAACTATAACCTCTAATCCTTAACCCCAACCCTAACAGTATTGTGTCCATTACGTGGGGCTACCAAACTACATCTTACGGAAGTCTTTGCCGGTACGGTCAACGCGGACTGTTTAGAAAGATTTAAAATCGGAAGTCAGCGCGCCGCTGGGTATGACCCAACTAGGCATTCTATCTTTTCATTTTGACACAACTGTGAAAAACTCGGCAAACTCAGTATTATTCAAACCCACGACACCAAGGGGAAGGCATGAGTACCGCCAACGCCCTAGCCACCTGCCAAAGCACCTGTTAATCAGATTGGCCTGATAGTCATCTGATGGATTCTATGCTGACTATTTAGGAAATCCTGCTTGAACGGTCAGCTTACTGTGTCAGGTTTGGGCGGGCAACTCGGTCCAATTGTGACTGAAGTTACGGCTCCGGGTGAAGCACCATAACCCAGGTGGCAAGAGCGTTGGCTGTACTTAAGCTTTCCCCTTGTCGTGGCTCCGAATCCCACCGAGGTTGTCGAGTTTCTCACAGTTGGGTCAAAATGACTCATTCAAAATCAGCCAAAACGCCTATTAATTCTGTCTGTATTGTAGTCCTACCCAACTAGTATTTTCTGTTTCATAGGACATTTGGTCGTCTTTCATTTGTCAGGTTTTTGCGGTGGTTACCTCTTTTCTCTTTCCTAGGAGCTCATATGTTCTATCGGAAACTTGCTAACCTGTCAGATATTCTGTGATTTCCGTACATCATTCTCAGGTAAACTAATGTGGAATATAATGTGCGAGAACACTGCCGCCGATGTCAAACAACTGTCAGCATGCTTCGGCGAGCTGGGCTGTGTTTTCAGTAACATGTGGCTGTCCGGCATGTGGTCGGCCGACGACACTGTCGCAGTTCTGAACGAAGTGACCGCAATCCCTGACGGCTGGCTAGCGGAAAACGTGGCCTGCCTGCTTCACGCGGCCGGTAGGTTTCCCTTCTGCTTCACCTTCATTTTCCCCGTTACCTAATTTGGGTGGCTCCTTCTTATTGCGACCTCGCCGAGTCACTTTTTGACATACAGTTTCGCGAAACCTGTGTTGAACTGGCCTGTGGTTGCTCCACCGCCGCCCTCCACTCCCCATCAGCAGTGTCAGATCAACGCCCGAGTACCAGGAGGTGGGATTAGACGTTGAATCTAATACAGTATTCGTTTGTCTCTGTCTAAAGGTGACTCGACGTGCGGAGACCAGGAATATTAGGCGATAGACGCAATCAACATATCAGAAAACGATATTGAACGTGTAAATTGTTCATCTAATATAACGGTGGATAACTGGCGTGGCCTAAGACCACCCTATTATTGGCATTCCGAAGGAGGTACGCATAACCATAAGCCAATCCAACCCTAACCCTGCTTTGCTATATAATTATATTTTCTGCTTACGTCCGAGGACACGTCATAGTTTGTGGATTCTTGACTCATTCTATATGGTTAACTTGCCGACTCTGTGTTGGCTGATAAAGCTCCGGAAAGAGCCCTCGAGTGAACAGGTCTGTATAATGGAGAAGGAGGCACGATCGCTGGGACAAGAACTTTATTAGCCTGACATTTCAGAGACAAAAGCAGATAATGTCTTGCGGAATCTGTTCATGCCCTACGCTTTCAGGAAATGGGTGTCAGAGTTTTCTGTGTGTTACCTTGAATGTAGCATGACGGGGCCAAACGAAACACAATCTCCGGTCTGAGAGGACGTTCAGTCATCATCATTTTCTCGTGCACAAAACACTTATTTTTTTGCGCCCTGAATCGATATTGTGATACATCATGCATATTCATGATGCGAGGAAAATGAAGTGCTCACCGGATCGAGGGACTTGCATGGCTGACGTTTCGAAGAGCTGGGGCGACTCTCCATTACCAAAGCGTCTGGTGAAAAAATCGATCAGAAGTTTGAATGGACAGCAGGATTATTTGGCCTTGGTCTGATCGATTTTTTTTCTCTTCTTTCGCGGCCTTGGCCTACCGACCGTCGACTTTGAGTGTTGGTGGCCTCCTGTATTGTGTGTCGTCACCTCAATTGGGGTTAGTTGCGTTTGCGTTCCCCTTTTGGGTTAATTGGTCGACAGGTCGTGTTTGCTCGGTAGTCTTAGGCCCCGTATGACTGTCTTGTCTTCGTCACGGCGTATGTAGTGACCGAAAGAAGGTCTAGATTCCTGTTGATGGAGTTGGCATCAGAGTACTAAGCCTCAAGTGTGAGACGCTCTGTCCTTGAGGTGCCCCTGCCTAAGACGACTGCTCCTTGAAAATCAAAACTGTGACCAGTTTTCCCTATGTGAGTCGCAAGCTGTGAGTTTGGGTCTAATCTCCGAGTTGCCAGTTTGTGCTCATGTAGGCGGGTCTGCAATTTCCATCCAGTTTCCCCAACGTAGTTGCGGTCTCCGTCGTTACAACGTATTTGATAGACAACTGCTGAGGTTTCAGGAGGTGGCATCAAACGGCACTTCATTTTCCTCAGATTATCAACCCGAATCTCTTACTTTTGCTAACCTGATATTCATGATGTGTTTTTTGCCATACTGACAGCAGGTTGAATAATATGCCATTCCTGACAGCACAGGTACCAGCCAAAAGCCCAGACACGAGTTTCGCCGATATTCTGCCGCTGCAGGACACAGCTGAGAGGGGTTCGGCTCACCAGTGGGTCCCCCAACGTCCCACGTCTGTCTTCTGATAAATACTCACCTCCCAAGATTTCCGCCTCTTAACCTCTTCAGAAATTAATAAGCTAGCTTGTAACAAATCATTCACAATAGAGTCCTGTGGGCTCGGTTGGAACGTTAATATGAGTATTTGGGTCGACATTCATCAGCGACAGCGAGATAACCGCGTAATATTCATAAACTACCAACAGGCAGCCAGTACTATACACATGTTGCGTGTCTACCATACTTGACAGTATAGGTGCCAGCTAAAAGCCCAGACACATGTTTTGCCGATATTCTGCCGCCGCATGACACAGCTGCAAGGGGTTCGGCTCATCCGTGGGTCCCCCCAGTGTTCCCCGTGTGCTTTTTGATAGATCCTTCAACATGCATATTTCGACCCTTCAAGTCGTCAACCCAAGCTTAACTATGTTTGTTCTGCTTTGCACTTCACAGGTCCACAGCTTTCCTCTTTGGCAGTGAGATGCAAGGCTTCGAGGGGTCGTGTGGCCGAGCTGGCAGTTATTCTGACCTCCCTCTGCCTAGTGCAGGTTAGTTGAGATCGTGTATCCTGTTCCGGTTTGATTTTGAAACGCTTCGTTCTAATGAAACCGACAGGTAGTTGTTTTTGGAAAGCAAAAGTAAGCTGATTACATTTATGCCATCAGGCTGTTTGAATACAAAAATAAAGCGTAAAAACGCGACCTTTCACTCTAAAATACTGCCAATTAGTAACCGTAAACTGGTGGAAAAAGCCCGAGGGTATTAGTTTGATGCTCCAATTCCTGATGACCACTCACACTAAAGGAGGAAGGGTGAAGGATATGCAATTAAATCTGCCTCTAGTGGTGACCGCGACTGAGGATATGATTGAATTTAACCAAGTTGATGGCCTCACCCCTAAGCCTATATCTGAGGCCCAACCCTAAACCACTAGCCCTAACCTCTAGCTATAATCCACTAGCCCTCATGGTAACAGTTGGGGGAGGCGTGAGGATACACTAACAAAAGGGAAGGAGGGCTAAATCAAACCTACCTAAAGACTAGGTGGGACCGCATACCCGATCGTCACCCCGTGCGCGTTAACGAAACAGTATCTTCGCCTTCGCTGTTGTCGAAGGAAGCACCGAGTACTTCGCCCCTTACCTGGAAAGCATCCAGACCTTAGTCGATAGGGGGAGAAGGGAAGATGCGGTGTCCATTGCAGACACGCCCCCAACGCATGTCCTGCATAGTCGAGAAATTGAATTTCATGAGCCCAAATAGTCGGTAAACCATGATAGATGCATGAAACCTCTGTGTCCAGGGCCATCCATGAACGGCAAACCAGTAGGCTCACAGTTTTTTTCTAAAAATGAGGCGTCAGTTGACAAGGCAGAAACGGGGGCAAATTAAAGTTGTTGTTTAGCTCACAAGTAAGGCGAACCAGGCCGATAGCCTAGACCTTTTCGAGGGCCAAACTGGCGTTTCATTGTGAATTGGGTTTATGCAGGCACTTCATCATGCGTTAAAAATCTTACCTCTCGAAAGGGGGGGAATTTTTGAACATGTCGGCCTGGGCAAATTCACTTGTCTGCTTCGAATCACGACCCGTCCCATGCATGGCCCTAAACTGCGTCTTAAATGTACTTCTACTCCAGTTAAGTTCGGTTTTGGGTCATTCGGTGAGCGCCAACTCGCAGCATATTGCAACGATAAATGAATCCCGGCTTGTCGCCAAGGCGTAATTCGACTATCTGTCAACGCAGTTGTTATTTAGACTGTTTTTCTTATAAAACTCCGGTCTTTCCCAACACAGGTTAAAATTAAGGAGAATTTGTCCGGCCTACTGGGTCTGGTCGGTGATGCGGTGAGCGCGACAAGTTCGGCTCACCGACAAGGCTTCCTGGACGCCCTCGCCTATGCATTTCGCGGCGTTATTGTTGATCTCTACGAGACGGATGAGCTCGGTGAGGATCCTCCTCCTCTTTCTCCTAAGTTATAATTTGTTCGAAAAATCGGACGGTAGGAGATTTTCATACAGTACGCGGCGGGCCCCTTTCACCAAAGCCTTATTTCAGCCTAATTGCACATTGCACGGTAAGGGTAGTGCATGTGGCCCAGCCTGCGTTTTGTCCCTAAAACCTGTCTACTTATTTCATTTACGTAGGTGTGTCATGTTCGGGTTGCGATTAGGGTTAAGTTCGCCTGCCGCATTCCACCTCATTCCATTCCGCCCAACATTAACCAGTAATCATGGCGTACATGTTCTCTGCTCGTTTACGCGCTCTTAGCTTGCATCTTTCGAACTTAGCGGTCTGTTCCGGTGCGTCGTCGGAATAATAAAACAAGCATATGGCAGAAATGTGCATTTTCTCAATGCATTCCGCAGGTACTGTTAACTGCTGCCTCCATCTGCCCAAGCCATCAAATCCCCTCCGGTATTACGGAAGTCCCTGTGTTATATTTGTCAGGTGAGGTCACATGCGCTATCGTTGGCAAAGAAACCATAAGAAAGAAGCCTATATGTAATACTGTATTTTGTGTTGTGAACGTGCGGCTATCCAGCTTTAGTCAATACTTCCTGCTGAAGAGACCCATTTAGTGGCCGGACCCGCCGATAGTCACATAAAAATCACATGAGAGTGAAGTGCCTTTATCTGATCTAATTAGAGGACAGACACAGGATGTCATTATAGTTGGCATGTTTCGCCACCTCTCTCTTATTCAAATTCGTCCCAGAAAAAATGTTTTAACAACTTAATAGTTTTTTGCTAAAAAAGAGAGGGACATTGGAATGATCATTTCTAGATTATTTGTCGCCATCAGCCAGTTCTACTCCAGCCGCAAGCTGACGACAACAACTCCGTCAGTAATAGCCATTTCCGTCACCCTGGCCATGTTCGGTGAGCTTCGATTCTGGATAGTTGCTCAATGCATCACTGCCTGTAGCAGTCCCTAACACAGGCCACGCGGCAGATGCGCTGGACCAACATGGGGTCTATATCAGAGTCCGGCAGGCGTTACCGGGAATGCGCGCCCATAACAAATTCCAAAATTGAGGGTGTGGTGGCAGGCCCAGTTGCAGGCTCGCGTCGCGTCAATTGGGGTCCCAGCCGCCCTGCCTCTATACTTTTTGTTGTTTAAAATCCCAGTCAAGTGTTTGTTGCGGACCAGGTGGTGTGGTGGTTTGTCTAGGTGCAGGCTTACGCCGTGCCAGTCACCTGCGGCCACTCCGGTCTCCTTGATCTTGTCATGACATCGGGTCCAGGCGGGGAAGGAGAAGGGAATGGGGTAGATGATGCGCAAGTCTACTACCACTGTAAACTAATTCACGCTCAATTCACTGTTCCTGCGCCGCCAAGCTGTGGAGCACATGGCGGACGTCGCCGAAATCGACGGCCGAGCTGTCGTTATCGCCTGTGTGGGCTCTAACCGGAAGGTTAAGTGCAGAAAGTGGCACCTGGATTCCATCGTACAAGTGAAACAGATAACAAACACCTCGTTCTTCCCCCATCCCCCCGCTTACCGTCCCCGTGGCGGCTGCATACAGAAGACAATCGACATGGTCATGAGCCAGCTGTATGCCCTGTTTCTGAAGCGCTTCGGTTAGAATGAAATATAACCACCATCCCTGAAACCAAACCCCAGACAGCGCTGTATCCTGTGAGCGTGACGGACAACTCCAACGTATTGTTGAGTGCCATTCCTAATGCTTTCGAGAATTGCACCAGTAGGACCACCCCAAAATAATGTCATCGCATCTTAGTGCGCACATCTGTCCCATTATGTCGCCGTTTAAAGTTACCACATTTTCTTTTTTGCGGTTTTATGATGTATGTTGCCACCAGGAAGATTATGACGGTGATCATACTTTCAGATTTATCACTTCCGGGGTCGGGGCCAAACGTTGATTGAACTATTGTGGTCCAAGGAAATGAATATGGCCAAAATACTATCGAAAGTATCATTCCCAAAGTTTATAACCAAATGCAGAAATCTACCCGGAGAAAGGACGTAGCAACCAGATAAGCATGGATTTCATGAGGGTGGTGTGGCGGACGGTTATATTTCAGTCTTGTCAACGCCTCTTTATTGCTTCTCGAGTTTTTTTTTTCTGTTGAAAGCCCTCTTTCGTCAACCCTTGGACACTTTTAGCTGAAATTCTGTCAATCATTTCACAGTAGTTGTGCCTTATTTCCGCCCGCAACTCTAAGCTCCGTGCACTTGTAGACGACCGTTGTCCTGAGGGGGTAAAAACCCTTTGAGAAGGGAGACATAAACATCCAGACATTACCTAACGGGGGAACTAAATTATTTACGGACATATCTAACTAAAATAAGTCAACAAGAAGCGGCGGGGCGTGCATGTGTTGTGTTAACTGTCCTATCCACTCTTCTGTTTCAGATGAACGAATAGAAGATTTCTCAATCATACTCAAGGCCCAATCCTACTTTTTCCGTGCTCTTCTTGCTCGTGTCTACGAGGAGTAAAGTTACCATGCAATTTCTTAGGAGTTCCTGATGGAAAAATCAAAAACAAACCCGAACCCCCACGACGTTTTTTGCATCTTTTGTTATTTTTTTCCTTTTTGTTACTTTGGAAGTTTTTTGCGCCACGTCTGGTTTTGCCTCCTGTTTGTTCTCTTTTGAAGACACCTTTTTGTGTTTTGTTGACGAATAAACACGTTAGTTTGCTTAACTTGTCTCGGCATTCTGTACTAGGCGGGGAGGGAGAGGGGGAAGGAACGACTACGCATATTTGGGTGCCTTTTAGATGGCACACCTTGTGGCTTTTCCAGCAACATCCCGGGTTCTTGTTGCAAAGTTGAGTGCACGATCATTGGGACAGCACGTGTATTAGTCTAAGCTGAGGATCACGCTTCCCACTTAGGTGAGGGGCTCTTGTTTCGAGCCTGAGGTGGGTAATGTGGGACCAATTTATGTGGCGATGGGATTGTGTCTGCATTGGTTTGCCGCATGGGGACGCATGTGGCCGAGTTGACCCATGCGATATCACCGTAGGAGACTCGTCAAGACAGGCGCTCGTCATCGATCCTCGCGAGGTGGCTGTTCCATCCCAATTTCAGTTGCCTCAGCATGGCGTGGGTGCTGAGAATTCCGGTTTGCTCGAGTACTTTTGTGTCCAGAATCCTGTCTTGCCACCTCAGTTTCAGTACTCTTCGGAAAAACTGAGGTGGAAGTGGTCGAGTTTCCTGCGCTTGGGTCCCATAGATTGTCCGGGTCTCTGCTCCGTACAGCAGTATGGTCAAGATGACAGCCTTATACATCTTGACTTTGCTTTGAGATGGAGACCACTGCGAATATACACCGAGTCCTGCAGCCGACCGAAGGCCTGGCTGGCTTTCCCTGGAGATCCGGTGGGTCACGTCGTTGCTAATTTTCATGCTGAGTGAGAGTATACTGCCTAAATAGGCGAAATTACCGGAGGGTTGGAGGTCGGTGCCGTGGAAGGTGGTGCGAGAACACCTTGTATTCAGTGTTGGGTGACGGCTGACGTCTCCCCACCGGCTTGTCCGTGTTGATGGTCTGCCCTAAGTTTGAGCAGCCGGAGGCGAAGAGACTCATGTGCCGTTGCGTATCCGGCTCCGCTGCGGTGTGGCACGCGTAGTCTTCCGCGAAGAGCAGGTCACTGACAGAATTCGTGGAGAAACGCGTTCAGGTCTGCATGTGCCGGTCGTCCGTCCTGTGGATGATGCGGATTCCGGGTCGCTCCTCACAGTAGACGTCCATCAGCGCGGCAGAGGGCGCGATACTGAAGGGGGTGGAAACTGGTATGCAGCACTGCCATACCCTATTCTTTACAGCGAATGCTTCTGAGACTATCCCATTGTCCGTGGCGCGAGTCGTCTTTCGTCGCTCAGTCGAATTTTTGTACAATCCTCCCGAGTTCAACGCGATTTACTGTGTCGACTGCTTTTGGCAGGTTCACAAATGTAGTGTAGAGGTGGGTTCGAATTTCCTGACATTTCTCTTGCAGCTGACAAACGGCGAAGATCATGTCGATGGTTCTGCAGCATCTTCGGGAAATACGATGGCTTCGCGGGAGAAGCTTTTCTCCAAGATAACCGTTGGGACGATTGAGAACGATGTGAGTGAGGGTCTTCCCGACGATCCTGAACAGTTTGATTCCCTTGTGATTATCACAAGATTGCCCGTGCTCTTACCGCTTGCAGAGATGGAAGATTGCTGCATCCTTGAAATTCTGAAGAACTTGTCCTTGAAGTCACATCTCCTGGAATATCCTTGCGAGTTTGTTCGTCGGTCGGAGGCCGCCGCGCTTACAGACTTCGACAGGAGTCGAGTCAGAGTCCGATGCTCTCACATTCGAGAGTTGATACACACCTAGTCGTTTCTGGGAGGGAAGAGGGGAGATCTAGGTAATTGTTCGTTTACATTTGAGGGAAACGGTCGATGGCGACGCCGGAGATTGTGGATGGACAGTTGATGATGGTTCAAAAGTGTTCGGTTCAGTGCTAAAGGAACTGTGAGCTCTCCGTCAAAAGTGTTGTTCGGCCGGAGTATAGAAGTGTTGCAGTTACTTTGGCGTGGGGAACGTAGATTGCCCTAATAGGGACGAAGAAGTTCCTCGTTTCATTGTCATCCGTGTGTCGCTTAAATTTCACGGTATTGCGGTTCGCCTAAGTGTCCTGCATCTCCTGGTTGACGCATATGACAGACTCATCCAAGGACAGTGGCTTTTATTACGTCGGATTCACGGTTAACGTAAGTTATGCGCAGTCTGTTCTACTTCGCAAGCGGGTTGCTGATATCTGCGTCGTTGCCGTCGGACCGCCCTGGTGCTGGCGACACACGCGACCGGCGACATCCAAGATAGTGGAAAGGATTGAGGTCAGAAACTGACACCACCGAGTCTCTACGATGGCGTGTTTATCTGGAGCTTTCAGATTTCCCAGTCGCTAAGTCAATCGACTGCCCAAGTAGAAGTAATGAGTAGGCACATTCGTTAGAACAATATTTAACTTGCCTTCCGTTCGCTTATCATGTGATCCCCTGCGAAGTTGCATACGGAGCTTCGTTCTAAATATGGCGAGGCGGTAATCGGTCCAGCCGTCGGCGTCGCGGGTCGCCTTGGTCACCAGCATGCCTTCCCGATCTCGTCTCCGGACGAGAACGTAGTCCAGCAGCTGCCAGCGCCGTGACAACTGGTGCACCCAGGTGGCCTCCTCACACACAAGGAGACGGGAGGTATTGGTTGGGAGGAAAGGGTGGTCTGTGTCGATTCGCAGGAGGAAGCTGTCATCGCTGCGATCCCTGACTCCATGGGAAACCAGCACCCCCTTCCAGACAGTGCAGTCTGTCCCCACACGGGCATTGAAGTCGACAAGATCAATCAGCCTGTCCGCCTGTTCGCCAGGAGGGCGTGCATGTCCTTGGAGAATTTGTTCTTCCCCTCGTCGAAGACGATCATTACCTAGACATAGGTTCGGACAACACTGGCGATTTTGCTTTCCCAGAGGCATGCGCAGGGTAATTAGACGCCCGTTGATATCCGGCGCCTTTGCGCGGCCACTCCAGAAGAAGGGGCAGCATGCATCTCACCCCCTCCCATCCATCCCTCGAGTTGGCCTTGTTCGGAGAAGCGGGTTTTCCCGAGAGCAGCGATGTTCACGCCATGACGCGCCAACTGTCGGGCAACAAGTGCAGTCCCCCTCCTCCGGCCGGTTACAGCCAGGATTGTCTGCCAGTGGGAGAAGTGTCTCTCGAGCTGCCTGTGGGGTTGGACGGGGGGCGGAATAGGGACGAAGCTTTTTGCTCTTTGTGCTGCTTCGTTCGTGAGTTGAGCACATGTGAGCTCGCATGTGGCGGGATTTTCCAGCCTTTGTTTACAGAGCCTTTTTTAGCTTCTCCCTCCGCGAAGGGATAAACAGTGCCGTCCCTATGCAGGATTGCTTAAAAATCCCAGACGGCTAACGAACTCCACTATGGCTCATGGCTTGGCTTAGTAATAGCCCGGACCGCCTACGGGATTGTATCTCGCTCTCTGTGTTTGACTTTTTGTATGTGGAGATTAGGAGGGGAAATTGAAAGGGGATCGTTGTTACCGGATGTGAGGGCACACAAAACCTGGATTGGTCCGCGGGTCGAGGCGACTACCAAGGTGTGGCCATCGAGCAAAGCCTAGATTTGGGAAGCCACAGATGAGGAATGGATTCTATTAAAGGATCGTGCGCAGTCATCGTTTGCATGATATGACCCGCCACACCTAAATGGTTTACCCCTCAACTAGACACCCCTAGACCTCGGTAGAGAACATAGAGTTCCAGTGACGTGAGGACTGTAAGCGGCGACTTTATTTATGATACCGGCCGCTACGCGTCTATTCCGAATTGCTAGTGACAGTTCGACCGTCATTTCGATGATGTCCATCGTGCGCTCCACAGCAGGGTAAGTCAGTGGCTTGCGCCTGAATTAGTTTAGAGTGATAGTTGGCTTACACTGAGTCTGCTGCTCTCTCTCCTTCCCCATCTGTATCCCGTGTCATGATCAAGTCAAGAAGACCAGAAGTGGGAGAGGGTGCAGCTGACTCGCGCAGTATGGGGCCCGCACCTAGGCGTGCCGTCACACCCGGCTCGGATCCCACTGGATGGGAATGCCATAGAGGCCAAATTGAGAGGGGACTAGTGTAGTCTAACCCTCGGTCTACTAGTCGGCCACTCCACACAGATATACACTGAAATGGCTGCAAGGTTCAAGTTATCCTGTCAGTTGGAAACCTTCCAAGCCATGGCTCTAATGCATCGTGATATCCTCAAACATGTCACATTGTTTATAGCAACGAAAATGCGCTGAGGCGTCGACCTCACTCTCCCTCCCCACTCCCAGGCACCAGATCATTGTCCGAGCCGACCATATGTCCGGTTCGAGTAGAGGGGGCAGTGACTGACAGGGCTAGAGAGCTCGTCTATGCACGCCATATGCACGACCTGGCTCCCCCAAACGCACACACCAGAGGAAGATTGAACGTTCGGATCTCACGTGCATCAGAGGAGCCGCACGGGGAAAGGAGCCGAAAAGCACCCTTCCCACTTACGTGAGAGGTGCCGGTGATGTGGGATGTTGGAGAGGTGTGTGAGTTGTGAACGCGTTGAAGGGGGGATATGTGGTGATTTGCTCGTGCCTGTGGTGATTTGTCCCAGACTAATTAGTAGGTGGTATGAAATGTACTGCTATGTCATAATTTAACGCTATGGAATAGTGCGACTTGGGTACTTCTGGATCCAGATAAATCCCTCCGGTAGGTCCAGCTAGGTGTGAATCCGCCTAAGTTCACCTGGAAGTTTTTTTTTCGGCTCTTAAGTCAGTATTAGTCTATCTTATTTTTGCCCCGCTTATAGTTCCCTCAATCCAAACTTTTCGGGACATTGGCCTTCACTCAAGCCGCGACGATCTAGCATTCGATTCCGCTTCTTTGTTGACCAGAGCACGACGGCATCGAGAACCTCCAAAAATTGGAAGTCACATTAATCTACGTTGTGCTGTTTCGAAGTGGAGAGCTCACTATAACCACTGGTATAAATGGTGCTTTGCTCGAAAGCCTGTGTGCATATTTTAGTAACTTGAAGGCAGAACTCCCCGACAGCTGTAAAAACAGGAGAGCATGGGGTTCACTCCCGACCTGTTTACTGTCCCTGGCCGGCAATACCTTAGTTCGGGGCTAAGAAGTCTGTTCTGCGGCAAACATTCCCTTAAGTTACCATTTTAATCTGTTTCTATCGTTAACCTAAATCGAGAGGGTGTTGATAATCAGGATAAAGTTCCCAGCAGCCGTTTTTATATTGTGGTATGGTAATGGCGGACACGCATCGATCGCGTTACGGAATTTACCTGTCCCGTTGTACCTTAAGGCTGCCCCTCGGGCTCCGCCATTATTCGTACAACGTCAAGTAGCATAGGCAGAATGGCATTAATGACAAAGACAGGAGAGACTGGCGTGGCCATTTCCGGTTTATCAGCAGTCATCAGTCAGCCGTACCCAATCCCGATGTGCGTAACACCCGGCGTTCGACCCCGCGGCCTGCTGGTTAGAGGCCCAACACCCTTCTACTGCCCCCATATGAAGATGTGGTAAATTGCGCATATTTGAAGCCCCGGGGCTACCATTTTCACTCCTGACGTTTCGTGCTCCCTCTACGGTCCATCATGTGGGACCTGTAAGCAAGCAGGTATTTGGGATATTTACACAATTCGCCAATTTTGTCAGCTCAGATTACTGCGCCTGACGTTGTTTGGTACCTAAATCCCAGAGCGTCTGCATCGGTACGGCTTCGCTTCCCATCCCACCCTGTCTCGTCAAACCGACACTGGAGGTGAAACTTCAAGAGCTGGTAGGCCTAAGGAGGATAGTTGCGGTGTCTTGACTCGGTACAACTCGCAGCACAGAGCTGCAAACTGACAGTTCGACTGTCGCATCCGACGATTCCCACCGTGTGCTCCACAGCAAGGTAAAGCAGACACGGTGATTTGCGCGGGAATTAGTTTATAGATTCGTCTACGAACTCTAACCTTCCGGAACTGCGTCTCTGTCCGATTCAAATGAAGAGGCTTGTGGGCAAAATCGTACTACAGGCGTAACTGCATGCAGGAGAAGCAGGGGATTTAGACTTCCACGCCAACCCAGTACAAGGTTATTCGAAGAACATGCAAAATTGAAATGCCGCGGACCAACAGCGCCACAGCCCAACCCCTGTCACTATGTTCTCACCGTCAGGCGAAGTCCAGGACCCAGATTGGCCTTGATGGACACGCAAATTCCCCAGCAACGTTAATACGCCCAACCCACCTCCTGTACCACAAAACGCCGTAATTTCCATGGAAATGTTTCTAGCCTGCCGTCGCTACGACCGCGACAGCGTGTCCCAGCTAATCTCCGTTGGACATCTTCCCATCAGGGGAAGCACCAAACATGCAGAAAAAGCGCCACCAATGAACATTCAAGGCAAACATGCTCCCATTGTAACCGTACATTTCGAAGACGCAGTAGTCTAGTTAGGCACCTGCAACTCCATCGCATCAGGACTGCGGAGCCACTGGCACATGTTCCAATCAACGTCTACTATAGCAGCCTTGCCTACACACAGCCCTCCTGCCCATGTTGTTCAAACGGCAGAAGAATTCAGTGGGGCATTCAATATACTAACTGCGATACGCTGACCCTGCTTCTGATGCCCGCTACCCTATGACAGTCTCTGCCCGATGCAGGTCTGCATGCGCGCCAACAACGGCATCATCACCTGACGCGCAGACCACCCCTGTGCGGTCAAGTGGGCACACAGATTGGAATATGACCCGTCATTTCACCAGCAAGCATGTAGAGTTTGCCAACGTAAGTAACGACGGGAAACGCGTGGTGCGAGCGTCCGCGATTGCGTTTTTCCTGCGTCGGACAGAGGCTCTACGCCAGGACAGGCAATGTCGTCTCGCTGACAGGGGAGAAGAGTTAGGCTCGTCAAACAGATAGGTTATGCCGGACTTCTTCTCTGTATCAGATCGACATTAAGCCCTCACTAAATGTTCAATCATGGATTTGGGAATTAAAATGTTACGAGACAAGTCGGTCCCCTCGACTTACGGACAGGTTGGAAATGGCTTCTTTTTCCCCCGGTTTTTATGACAACTTAGTTCGATAAGGCATCTGCGGTCCCGCATGAAGCATACTTCGTGTACATTTTGGAAGCAGCGCATATCTGAAACAAACACCACGATCCTCGAGGCCTAAGAACCCCGTGTATATCTTATCACACGCACAACTTTTAAAGATCATCAGAAAATGCATGCTGCAACCTTATTTTGCCCTGCTGAATCAACATAAAAGGATGAGGTGGCCCGCAATTAAGAACCGAAACATCGCCGTGTGTGAATTAACCAGAGATCAACTAACATGTTGCGATCGAAAGATGAGGAGACTTAGACAGTCACTTCCGACTTATTTGTCTTTGCCAATCAAACGCCTCGAGCTCCAAGCCCGACAAATATGCTACTTAGACTCAGTAAGTTGGTCATGGAACGTTTGGGCCGCAGGCCCACGTAATGTCGCCCTGCCATAGCCATATGGATGTGAGGATCCGCCTGTTTATCATGTTTACAGAGAATATACATTTTAGGGCGGATTTGAGAGAAAATCAGACCACAAAAACAAAGAACCCTGTAAGAACATTTGGCGGACGAATACGGGTGCAACTTCCTACCATTGGTGTCAGCAGCCTCTTCCATGTCGCCTACCTGTGACAGGACTTACGACCAGTCAAAAGTTTAAGCAACAGCCAAATCCGCTGCTCGACCTGACTCTGCAAGTATTGCAGCCATTTCGAATGCAGTGTGGGAAGTTATAAGAACTTGCATCGACCTATCAAGTAGTGTGCAACAGCCCCAACGCTGGGTACGGTGGCCACCAATACGTCGGAGGCACTAACGGGTACGGCGCTAATAAGATTTGCACAGCACTGACTCGAATCGCTCGTCCACATTCAAGTCGTTCTTGACGGACGACTTTGTGAGGTGACCGAGTCCGCAGTAGGCATCTGTTCAAGTGCTAAAGCACTGGCCGAGCCAGTTTTATACGCATAACTCCACCGGGTGAAGAGGCATTCCACGCTTACTTGCTTACTTTTAACAGGTAAGGCTGCGATCATGCCTGATCTAGCCGACATCGACGACGTCCCAAACTTTACCTCCCAACGAGTGACGATCGGCGGCAGCAGATCTGGATAACTCAACCCAGAAGGTCCAAGAACCTCCTCCATGCCTTGAAAAACTACGTCGAGTCGGGTTTTGAGTAGACCCACTCTTCGACGCCTCCAATGAGGTAACGATGCCGGATCGAGGGCAGTAACACTGAGCTCCTGAGGTTGACGACGAAGAACATGCCCAAACCACCTAAGTCGGCTTTCTCGAACGGCCTGGGTTATCTGTTAGATGTCGTAGCGAGTGTTGACTGTTTAATTTGAGCTCGCCTACTCCGAGGAGCCAGTGGATCCGTGTACGTACGTCTATTCCTCTGGCAGGAGAATATGGCAAACAGTCTAACCACCCACATATCGATCCCTACTCCACATTACCATAGTAGCCGTTGCCACTCATCGGGTCACAAAAAAGACTGAACACTCAAATTTCAACAAAATGGTTTTGACAGGTGCAACGTGGTGACATACTCGTACTAGGGGTAAAAAACTTTCCTGCCGACCGCTGGCCCCAATCAGATCTTCAGTCCACATGGTTACTTGCCACTGGTGTACTAGAGGACGGTGTGAGGGAGGCAAATCCAAAGCAGAGGGCAGACCCTCCCCCTGTCCGAAGGTTGCAACGGTAAATTTGCAATGCGGTCAATATGGAGAATCTCGTCGATGAAAAACCCAACAGTTTACATCTTAAAGCCCAGTTAGTGTGACCGAAATAGCCAGCGCTTGCTCATCGCACGCAGACGGTGGACCAGCCGCAGCAGCCCCTGCGCTGTGCTTACTTGTGCTTGTCTCATTTGAGAAAAAGTCGATGAACTGCAATCGAAGGATGATCCTTAAGCAGTGGTGGTCAAATATTTCGAATTTACCCTTGTCTTCCACGCGCACAGCCCAGAATTCACAACCATACACAAGGACAGACCGGAAAGACGCACGTTACACGCGTATCTTGGTGGCGATGGAGCCATCGCGTTGGATCCATTGGCATTCTCTAAGGCTTGGGAAAATCCAGCGGAAAGAAACCATTCGCGAGACGTCGTCCTTGCTCTGTCCATTCAGCAAGTCTCGCCCAGAGGTATTTAAAATTGTCTACATCTTCAAGTTGACAGCCATCAACCTCGAGAGGTGCCTTCTCCCGGTTGGGGATTCAGCTTGAAAGCGACTTGGTCTTCCCAGTGCTTATGGATAGACCGATTTAGCGACCTCGTTTTCTCGTGACAACATAGACCGCAGATCACCAAAAAGTGTGGTAAAGCGATATTGTGGGCATAATCGAGATCACTTAGTCGGTGTCCAGATGCAAACTCAACACCGTAATCTTCGTGTAGAGCCCTCCCGAGGATCCAGTCAAGAGCGTAGCTGAACAGGATGGGCGACAGGATACAAAACTGCCCGACGTCAGACCGAACGATTGGGAATGATCGTTATGGTCCAGAACTCGTGTACTGGTGTGGCAGCGGGCCTTGACCATGGCGATGACTTTTGGCGGTACACAATCTAATGTCATTATCCACCACAGGGACTCACGATGAACGACATCGAACGCGGCGGCAGTCAGCGAAACAGGCAGCCGCCGGTTGAGGCTAGTCCTGGAGGAATTCGAGAATTCCCCCGTGTTAAAACCTGGTCAGCGCATCCACGTTCGGTAGGGAATCCGGCTTGATTGGGCCTCGTCCTAGAGTTACGCAGGGCCTGAAATCGCCTGAGGACAGTGGCAAAGTTGATAAGGCTTATGTCGCGGTTCTCTTATCTCATTTTATCTTCCTTCTTGAGGATATGTACAAGGATTCCCAAGCCCGTCACCAAGAGCAAGCCCGTCTCTCCAAGCTTGTTAAATCATGTCAAGGAGCCAAGGTGGCAGTGTCGACACTAGACTTGTAGATCTCAGCAGGTGTACCGCCCTATCCGGGTGCCCTGTTGTTGCGTAGCCTTCGTATGGCATCGGCAACTTCGCCTTATGATAAGAAGTCACATGGCAATGCATATGTTGAAGTGAGGCCGCAGAGGAGAGAAAGGGCATGAAGACGAGATGGTGCTCCAAGTGCTCACGCCAGCGCCCGACCTCGGCCGAATTGTCTACGGCAAAGCTGTCATTCATTTCACCTTAGGCCTATTTCGTCTTGTTAACTAATCGAAGGAGGTAGCGCGGTACGGTAGCCACCTTGGAACCATCTAATTTAACTACAAATGTGAGCTGAGTGTCCTATGGCTAGATCGTGCACCTATCACCGCCTACGTAGCTACCCTTCACGAGTATCGTGCACACCCTACTAGCAGAAGGCAGACAAAATAGAAGCTCGCCACTTCCGACTCCAGACGCGCATCGACGTAACTAGGATGGTTTACCCTTAACCCTTCAAACCCCTTTGCCGTGTAGTGCTCGGTTTTCCAGGGTTCAAAGTGACAACGGCTCGGATCGACGAGTTCGAAAACAGGAAACAACAACCATAAAGACGGAGCCTAGTGCACCTATTTACTATCGTGTTGTCGACAATCCAACCGCAGTTTGTGGATAGCTAACAAGAACCCTCCAAGATAGCCAACCACGTGTGACAGCACAGGCATTAAGACTAAATGCCTTCAAAGGTCGTCGGCTTTTGTCTTCCCCGGAGAGAAGAATCGTACCCCAACAGGTTAAGGCTCCGGGTCCCAACTGCTGGCAGACGTTTTGAGGCTAGAATCGAGACAGCTGTTAATGACAAAGAACCAGAAGTCGTAAACCCCCGAATCACATTTCAGTAAATGCTCTATTTTCTGTCCGGGCAACATCTGCGTTAGCCCATCCGCCGATGGCACCAGTACTTGCCTGGTGGCATCAGTCAATGGGAACCCCGGAAAATGCCGAACATTTGGATGAACAAATCAGCAGAACTGCCAATCAACGCTACCCTCGTCATTTCACGACCGAGCAACACCAGGTGCCTTCTTGACACTCACCAATGTATCACAGCTGTGGGGGGTAATTTTACCAGCACACAATGCCCGCACGCATTTGTGCGTTGTGACCACAATGTAATGATCGATATCAAGCCATCGTGTTTGCACCTGTTGTGGCCTAGATGCAAAAATGAACCTTCAGTTATGGCATTGTGGGCCAAGGCCCACTCTTCAATGACGCAAGATATTCAAACGTCATGATTCTCCAGCAAAACAAATTCAGTTGCGCTCTGACGTGGAAGACTTACTGTAAGAAAACAGCTCTCCGGATGGAATGGTTACCATGAGCGCACTGAAACCGGTACGTGGACTCACTCACGGGCTTGCGGCCTGAGGATAGGTCGCAACACGTACATGATGAACACACTGAGCGGCACTACCAAACCTGTGTGGCGGTCCTCCAGCGATTAGAAACCGATTAGTTCAAAAACAGGGAGCTGATCGCCAACTGGGATGGCAAACCAAAAGCACTGTGCAAAAGGCAACTGTGAGCAAATCTCACACATGGGTCGGATTCCCACCTGCAAGCCGTTAAATACCGGCCGACAATGGCACTGGTTTCACGTCATCGGATTGCATTATGATAGCTATCGTGTTCGGAACTCCAGGCTATAGAATAAGATCCTGCCGCGTGGTGCTCCCGTTAGACTTCGTCGATCGCAGATGCTCTCAATCGCATTCGGACTGCTGAATCTGCCGCTCCAACTGGTTGCTCTTAAGCAAAGAAAATTGGTCGTGACAGCTGCGCGAGACAAAGCGAGTCATGTTTATTGTGGGCATGTAAAGTCAAGATCGAGGGACAAACTGGCGGAGAAACAGCACAATCCTAATTGAATGCAGCAGACGCTGGACTACCAACTTTCTTCGTTGTTTGCACATGCGAAAAAAGTAGGAATGTGGTACCAAGTGAAACACGGAAGGTCCTTGTTGATACCACAAACCCTAGTTAAAAGAAAACGTATCAATAGCGGGGACAAAGATTAGAACAGAGGCGAACGCAAAGTCGATTAATTAAATCGTCGAAAGGTTATTTGCTGACCCGACTCCTAAATAAAGTGGGTGCTGCAAAATAGTATCGTAATTCATACACTGTCCACTAGATAAATTCCTGAAAATGTATGTTTCGAACTTGATTTCGAATTGTATCTTCAGCTTTACAAGCAAGAGATCTTGAGTTCGGCACCGACTGTTAGGGCTCACAATAGGACATTATGCAAAGTCAGTTGAGAGTTCACCGTACACCAGGCGCAGCAGTCGAAAAGCGGTGGCTCAGGAATAGTCTATACAACATGCGAAACGGGTATGGACTTACAACCATGGCGAAGATTCCAAATCAAACCTACTGACCTAACCTGTGTTCTGAAGTCTTCCTAACCGTGCGACTTGTAGCTGGCGGCAGAATGGGATACAGGGCGAGCAGAGGGCCGGCAAATCTGCCTTAGAATAAACAAGGCACACATCAACGCCACGAGTTTATTGAACATTTACACGCGCGAGGGATAAAGCATAACGCGGATGCGGTGGCCCATCGCCTTGGCCGGGAGGTTACGCTTAAAGTGTGCGCGGACGGCCCCGCTGCGACCATGGGGTCGAGTGACTTTTCCCCAGACCACACGGACTTTAGTGGGCTTCTGCCGACGAGGAAACTGCTTCTTCCTAAAGCCAAAAGCGATTAGAAGTTAGAGAGTCTACTTCTCGGCGCGGTAGATATAAGCACATCGTTTGCCCAGGTAAAACTCAGTCTCATCTCGGGTGTTTACGCCATCAATTTTGAGAAGCGCTGTGTTCTCATGCTGATTTCTCAAACCGCGGCGGTATCCGGTAAAAATTGCTTTCACATACAGTCTTCCTGGCTGCTTTTGTCTCTTCCTTTTAACTTCCTCCTTCACAGGCTTGGTCTCAGCCATTCCAAGATAGCACTAATCACGCCTTGCAAAGTGCTAAAGTGGGGCGCCACACTAATACTTGGTACACTAAAACAAAGAGGGTGTCAGCATCAACTGATTAATGTGATGTCGCGAGCAAAAAGGATCACTATTATAAATACTCACATAAAGGTTAATAGCTATACATCTCTTTCATTTTCATAAGGATCCTTTTTGTATCAGGGCTCGCGTGCGGAAGGTGAAGGGGTGCTGTGTACACTGAACATATTTGTAAGGAAAGCACTTGCGCAGAATGAGGACTGAACCGAGCTTAAAAGAATACCAAATTTTGTTGGCCAGCACACTGAAAGTAAAATGTTGGCTGCCCCATTTATTCGAAATCTCTGCAATAGAATGTGGGTATTATTGAAGAGTTAGTGTACAAGTACAATACTCGCCCGTTGTCAACGACTGAACGATGGTCGAGTAGGTTATGCCTCATACAGAGGATCTTCAGTCAGATTCACTAAAACAGCATGACTATTAATACTCATATCTGATTCAAATTAAGCCAGGCAATCAGGACTCAATATGCAAAGAATTAATTTCAGTCCGTCTTCACCCGAGAACCTAATGCTATATTTGCCCATCCATCCATTCGCCAAACAACCTCTCCTCCCAGTACCCTTCCCCATCCTATCCCCTCCCTACCCTCCTTAACCGAGGAACCACTCTTTTCATCTACCATTGTTAGGGCCGAGCTACTCCGGCTGAAACCTGCCAAATCGCCTGGCCCAGATAGAATTCCCGCCCTAGCACTTCGTGAACTTGCTAATGAACTGTGCAAACCCTTATCCGCAATATTTAAAAACTCATTTGAAGACGGCGAGCTACCGGAAGAATGGAAGTGCGCACTGATTACTCCGATCCATAAAGGAGGCTCAAGACTTGACTGTGGAAATTATCGTCCTGTCAGTCTTACTTGCATCGCGTGTAAAATAATGGAACGCATTATCAAAAGACACTTGATGAAATACCTGGAACAGAACAAAATATTGTGCGATGCCCAACACGGCTTTCGTCCAGGGCGCTCCTGC